GATGAACGAAATCCCAAACATAACTCATTATGCCTTATGTTTGCGTTTCATTGGTAAACAGATACTTTGAAAGTTGTCAATACTTATACGAATTGATTTGCTAATAGAAACTCCTTTTCGAAGGGCTTTTACCGTCTGCATAAAAAGAAATTCTTCATTAATAAGCACTTAATGAATGATTATATCTATCTCTAGTGAGTTCTGCAACATAGATTACTTTTAATAACATTTGTCTTGTTATAACCAGTTATATAACATGATACATTTTGTCTCTTTATTCAAGGGAAAAGGGGATATGCAGACATGGTGGATCACAGGACGTACTAGAGCTGATTTGGCGAAAGATTGCTGCCCACTGCCAATGAACTGGAAAAAAAGACTGAAAAAAACGGAACCTTCAAACCAAACTGAGAATCCATAACAAAAATTACATTCATACCATTCATGGATTGACGAAAACTTAAGAAGATCTTGTAAAGTGTTATATATCATATCGAGTCTTCAGATTATATTATTTATGGTGCTTAAAAGAGTATTCGCCACTGTTCATGCATTTTAATCTTGACATCTTTAGCAAGCATTCTCATTTTGTTTTGAATAATGAATCCTGCAAAAGTAACTGACTATTAAATTGTTGTCTCGGTGTTTTGAACTACTAACAATTTAAAAGTAGCATAATAACAATTATGCCAACTGTGTTGACAATTTGAATGCTGAAAGTGTTATCTCAGTTTAAATGAATTATTCTTTTTAAAATTGATTTGAATAAAATAGTGGTAGAAAATATTGGATTATCATTGTTATTCTTCAAATGCTACGTGTAAGAAAATTTGAGGATGATATGTTATCTGTTCACTTAACTAATCTTATTTACCATATGATTGTTATAGTGTGTTTATCCAGTTTTCTCAGATTCATCTTTGGTACAAGAATTGAGCTAATGATCTGCTATTTCTTATATGATCAGCCCACGTTTTAGTTTCACTGGTTATATTTAGTCTCAGCCAATGTCTTTCAGATCAAAACCACTTACTATAGAAAGGAATTTTCCGTAATTCTGTTCTAACTACCACAAAGGAGTAGCTGAATTTTGAACTCTTTATGTTGTAATAAGAAATGTAAATGATAAGGATAGATCTAGGCCACAGACTCAGCAATAAAATTCTCTGAAACATGGAACAGAGTGAAGGAAAAATATCGCAACTTAATTTATATTTGGAATCCATAACTTACTTTTCAAAAACACGGATTCGGTTTTTCAGCCTCCCCTAAAAATTTTCAACTTCATGAGGTTATACTCATTGACAGCCTTCTAAAGCCATACGTATGAAATATCTTAAAAAATCATGTTGAATCCTTTGAGTTTCTAAATACAGAAGATAAGGTTCTGGAAACGGCATAAGTGCTATAGAAATGCTGACTTGCATCAGTGTTTTTAAAAGATTATAGCTTTTTTTTGGTTATTTGTTCTCTGAAGAAGTGGTTTACACTGAGTCATGAAACGTCAGAAAATCTAGTTTTTTCGTGATGTTTTCTGAGTTTTCTTCATGGTATGCACTTAATCAAAGCCTCAACATGTACCAACCTCTTTGATGGTTGGTAGAAAACAAATTTTTATTGGCTGCATAATGTTATGATAAGACATAATTCACAGCAGCACAGTGTATAACCTCCTAATGTACGACATTAATGACTTTTTTGTTTACCAGACCCCTGAAGACTAAGTAGCGTATGAAACCCTCAAGCACTGAGAACTTTGAGACTATACTCGATCACTTAGTTAATCATAAGCGAATAATCTCTAAAGACTGGTTCATACTGAAAATTATTATTGACAAGTCCTCATTATTTTTAGAAATTGTCTTAAACAATATTATTTAGCAGGTTTGATTTCATTTTGCCTTATTTTAATAAAAGTATAATTGGTGCGATATGTTATATTTTCGAGATAGTGAAATGCATATGTATATAAAGAATCAGATGTTAAGAGATTTAATATGATTTGAATCGTGTATCTCTCAAGAATTTCCATAGTAGCCATAATGTCACCTGAAGATATTTGATTTGACTGTTTGTTAATAATTGTATAATCATCAATTGGTTTACTAATTTAAAAAGCTTTTCTTCAAACTGACTCACAATCATATGATGGTTTGTTATTTTCTTCATCAGTTGATGCATCTGATCTATGTCAATCTGGTTATTTAATAAACAATATTCAGACTTTGATTGGCTGACTTTTATGATACTTTTATTTCATATTTTCGTTGAATTTAATTATTGATAAATACAGCTAAGTATAAAAAAATATCTACGTTTATGGATGAAATACCACATAGATTGTTGATGATACAACTGTAAGTACTTGAAAATCATTAAACCTTAATGTTGATAAGTGACTTATTCAATAATTGTGGACATTTCTAAGTTAGTCAGTGATATACCTTTGAATATTTCAGTTGTGTCTTATTCTTTCATTCATTTCTTTCTTTCATTGAGTAAAATAATGTTTGGGATTCAAAATCAGTAATGTATTTAATATGTGCCATTTCATTCTGAAAACAATTCCAGCGATTGATGACATGGAAAAAGGGTGTATTATCTGACAGCTTTGGTTAATTTGAAGAAAATAAACTTTGACCGTCAAACGATACATTCATTGCATAGTTGTAAATCTGGATGCCTTTAATAGTCACTCACTTCAACTTTATTATTTCTGATTGAGATCACGTATCAATGAATGTTAGATCATGGTTGATAACCTGGAAGCACTGGACAGTCGTTTCGTCATAGTATGGGGCCGCTCAGCAGTGCGCATCCACGACCCCGCACGCAGGACTTGAACCCAGGACCTCCGGTCTTGCGTGCAGAAACTTATTTATGTCCATACAATTTACTAAGACAGACTGCAGTCCTGAGTGCTTAGAATCGAAACAAAGGGACAAAAACAGTATTCTGTTTTGTAAGTTTGATCAACCATAGTTTTAATGGAGTCGGTTTACTATTAGAAAAGGTTACTGTTGATGAGAGGCCGTTCATATGAATTTATATCACACAAAATTGCTAATCATTATACCAACCGGTCAAAAGTAATACATTTAGTTAGGACAGTAGTAATAGTTGGTGGTGGCGAGATCATATAGATTTCGAAGTTAAAGTAAAACAGTAGTATGTGATATTAACAGATGTTATTCATCGTATATAGATATAGTAACCAGTGAATCCCAGATCGATCGGTTAAAGTGAGACATTCGGAGAGAGTTATGGTAATTTTGAGTCCATCTATGACCCAGTTGAGAGGACGGTATAGATTTTAAAATTTCTGAATTCCAATAACCAATTGTAAACTCTAATTCTTTTAGTGATTTCCTAAGTGATATCAGTCTGTGATGTTAACCATTTCGAGACTAAACCAACCCCCACAGACTGTTCGTCTAGGAGATGAATATCATGTTAATTCAATTTTAAAAGAAAATATTCTTCCGTTTTTTTCCATTTCAGGGTATTATTATTATATCCTAACTAACTACAGTTTAAAAAATCTAAATCACTTTATAATGATATATTACATTGCCGCCTTAAAAGCGAAAGTCATAATTAATAAAAATGATATGCTTGTTCACTAATAACAATTCATAATATTATGATAATTTATTAAATATTCGATTTCATCACTCTTCATGTTTGTCATTAACTTGTGTAGACATGCATGTATGTATATATTTGTATGATAATTATGGCCAACAAGTTGGTTGTAAGCTCTTTGAATCCGTATGGGGTTGTGGAGTTTGTTATGCTTTTGGTTGAAATCATGAATCGATTGATGTTAGACGACCATTGAAAAACCGGAAGCACTGGATAGGACTCTCCAGCAGTGAGCATATACGATTCGAACCCAGGATGATCTCTATCAAAAACTTAACCATCTTCACAACCGCATACTATGTACTCACTAGTGACTAGCTTCGTGAGAGAATTCTCGGAGTTTTAGTGAGAAACCGTAACCAATGAAGCTAATCCAGGTGAGGTAGAGATAGGTATCTACTTCAGTGTTATGTTTGAAGCGATTACGAGTTCACCCAGTCTGCGAACCGAACAAAGACTCTGTGGCCAAAGACCAATAAGCCAGCTATTGTGATGCGTCCCAGTACTGCTAACCAGAGACAGAAGTTCAAGTTCGAAACATATTCCGCAAGCATCCAGAAGCACGAGCAACCAAGAAAAGTCGAGTCGGAGACACGCTCATTTATATATTGGTTTGTACACCCATTTTTTGATTTATAATCAGAATAAATCACATATCTGAAAAATACTTCATACAATAATATCGTATGTTATACAGAATGAAATGTCATAGGGGAAAACAGTAACGAATACTATACTGAGTGATCATCAAATTGAATTAAATGGAATTCATGTTGAATAAAAATCATAAGGAGTAAATAAATCTAATTCTGACTTTTCATCACGACAATTGAAGATGCCGCCTCAGTGGTCTAGAGGTTCGCGCGCGGGAGTTACGCTCATTCCAGTACTCCCAGTTTATATATATATATATATAAATATATATATATATATATATATATATATATATATATATATATATATATATATATATATATATGTCTATGCATTAGACTGGGTGTATTCATCAAGAAAAACTGATATACAATAATGTATGTATGTGTATTATCCGTTTAGTGTATAAGTACACTTTGTATTATCAACAATTTAAACTGATAAAAATCGATTAATATTCAACCAATCTCATTCATTATAATAATAATAATAATAATAATAATAATAATAATAAATGTTCATTTGTTCATTAACTCCATCTAATTAAACAATGGAAATTTATTTATTTCATTATTATTAAAAATACCTATTTATCCGTTTCAATAAAAAACTTTCTTTCTAATTTGATATGTGAAATTAGTATCATACAGCACATTCTTCAGTGATTATAGCAAACAGCCAACAACATCAACAACATCAACATGTTAGCACATTCTGAACTTGCTGATATTTTAATAGAACAATCTAAATTATTTCATCAATTATATGATGATAATTTAATGAAAATGACAGCAAAATTAGATGATTTTCAAAGAATTCGTACATTAGGACGTGGTGGTTTTGGTCATGTTCTATTAGTACGTCATATTTATACTGATAAATATTTTGCATTAAAAATATTATCTAAAATACAAATAATTAAAACTCATCAAATTCATAATGCAATTAATGAGAAACGTATATTAGCTGCATGTAATTTTACATTTATTATACCATTATATTATAGTTTTAAAGATAATAGTAATTTATATCTGGTTATGGAATATGCAATAGGTGGTGATTTATTTACATTATTACGTCATATGAAACAATTCCCTAATGAAATGGTTAAATTCTATGGTGCTCAAGTGATATTAGCATTTGAATATTTACATTATTTAACAATAGTTTATCGTGATTTAAAACCAGAAAATCTTTTAATTCATTCTAATGGTTTTATTAAATTAACTGATTTAGGTTTTGCTAAATTATTACCTAAACATAAACGTACATGGACATTATGTGGTACACCAGATTATATGGCACCAGAGATTATATTAAATAAAGGTTATCATCATTCAGTTGATTGGTGGGCATTTGGTATATTATTATATGAAATGACTACTGGTTATCCACCATTTATGCATTATGATCAAATGAAAACATTTGAATTAATTATTATTGGTGATATTAAATTTACAAATCATTTTAATCCATTATTAAAAGATTTAATCAGGAATTTAATACAAATTGATTTAAGTCGACGTTATGGTAATTTAAAAAATGGTATCCATGATATTAAAAATCATGATTATTTTAAAGATTTAAATTGGTTACAATTATATCAATTGAATATTGAACCTCCTTATAAACCATTATATAATAATAATAATAATAATTTACAAGATATAAATCATTTTGGTTGTTCTAATGAATTCAATTTCAATATTGCTGAAAAAGAACAATTTGAAAATAGTTTTGATGATTTTTGAAATCGTTTTCCTTTTGTTTTCATGGTTTCATTCAATTCCGATTTGTTATGGTTTAATTTATTGATATGAATTGTATTCATTGCTTAATTCAATGTTAATTATGTAATAAAAAGAGAAAGGAAAAAAGAAAGAAAGAAAGAAAGGAAGGAAGAAAGCATAGTGTACAATATCACAGGTAAATATGATGTTATAATATATTGAAGAGTAAACTTACAACATTGAAAATTGAATATAGTTAACTAGAAAATGAATTATTCCTTTTTTCTTATCAAAATTAACATCTTATGTAATTGATAAATCATATACATACATCAGTTACTTCGTTTATTACGTAATTAGCTTACTTATTTTCACAATACTTTCCTTATTTGACATTTTTATTGATGTAACGGTTGAGCACTCATTTCGATGCCTGAAGATGCTGAGTTTCATCCCACGTGGGATTATGGATAAGTGCTGTTAAGGTATCTCATAACTATTCAGTGTTTTATGATTTCTATTGGTTGCTTAACTAAAACCAATCAACGAAGTTAACTATGACAATTTTACTATTCAATAAATTTCTGGGATTATTAATCATATATATATATATATATATATCAGTGGAGATAGTAGTATTAGTATTACTACTACTACTACCATTAGTTGTATTAGTAATAACAGTAGAAATTCAGTGCCATAAACCCTGGTCCGGATAGGAAATTTAGAATCGAAAACACCTTTAGTAAGTTTATTTGCAGAGTTTTGAGAATAAAATAATAGAATATAACGATTATTGTGATACTGGTTGATCATTTAAAAAAGAGAAACCGTTGTATTTCTAATGAATTGTAAACTAATGATGAACAACATTTCCTTTCTTCACTTTCATTGTAATAGCTAAATTGTTCAACAGAAGTAGTCTTTGTGAAGATATTGTAAGATTGGATTAAAGGCTCACGTTGAATTGAAGTTATCTGAGTAAATGTAGAAAAATCATGAGATTTCATAATGTTGTTTTCTATTGACTGTGAAGCGGCAGATGCGCGTTTACTCTTACGGCGTCCTGAACTTCAATAAAACAAATATCTAATTCTCTTCGATACTCATTGTTATTTTCCTAAGGCTGACGATTTGTAACAAAAATTGACCTGTTGTGAACTTAAAAGAATCACAGTTGGCTATGAATTTCGAAGTAAATCCTGAAATTATTGTGAGTCGAACGTCGATTGAATTTTGGAAAAAATATACTTTACACCGTGAGCTCATTTAATATGAAGAAAACATTTAATTTTATAAGTGATGACTTTGTAATTGTCTTTCAAAGTTAAACATTACATGAGTCAGGACAAAACAAACGTAAAACATATTCTTTCAGCATTTAAATTCTAAGATATAATCCAGTTAACCGTGCTTACTCGTGCCTAACCAGATATCAAGACATCAGAAATTTAGGGGATTATACACATACCATTCGTACACTAATAATCTATCGAAGCAGATGCTTCTTTAGATGTGGTTTGGTGGTATTTAAAAATATCGAGATTTTTACCTAAATATTTTTACTTTGGATTATTCTCAATGTGCAAAGAAGGAGCCCAATATGGTTTAACGTAGAAATCATCACTAATCTTCGAAGCAGAATCATTTGTTAAAGGATTGTGATACACTGAAAACTGAGAAAGTCATATCTGATACATTTGATGCTTACTCCAAATAAATTCCTAAATAGATTGTAAAACAGGGCTTAAATGTTCCCCAACAGAATTCCCGTATTTTTTCGTACATTAACCGAAGGTAAACATAGGACATTCCCTATCAACACTGTATTCAAATAGTTGTTCTTGATAAAAGTCTCCTCCAAAAAGCAACATTATTCACAAACAGTTTTAACACAAATTATTCATTGAAGACACTATCCACCTAATAGTAAATTACAGTAGTTACGTCATTTAAGTGTAATTCAAGTGTATTAACAATTCAATAACCCGACATCTTTAGATTAACTGAAATGTTTAACAGAATAAAATCATTGAAATGATTAATATCAATGAATTTATTTTAAAAGAATAAATGACTGATTTCATCATAAACAAATAAAGTAATAGAAGTACAGTTAATATCCATGAAACATAGAAACTATTCAAAGGATTTTTTTCACAGGGCAACTTTTCATTATGAATTCTTAGTAAAACTAAACCCGATCGAATTAATTCAAATCAGTTTAATTTACACACAATAATACCAATGAATACAGATATATATATATCAATGAATAGAATAAATAAAGTAGGATTGAATAATGTCAGTCATTCATATGTTGATTATTTATACAGTTCGTGACCTTAAATTTCTGTCCTCAAGTTATTCGAATCAAATAGATTATGTATAGACAGTTTATAATAAAATGTATACTATGTGTGTACTATAATAATTTGAATGACATTTTAAGAAAAAATATTGACATTTCAGCAAACTGTTTATAATTTATTCAGTAGTATATAAATAAGATAATCATCATAAATTACGATTTTAAACTTAAGATTAATTTCCGTTTTGAAATAATTCAATGAACTAATTTCTTGTGAATAAACAAAGTTTGAAAGATCTATTGGCTTATATTGTAATCGACATACTTAGTTACTGAAGAAATACATATCTTATTAAAGTAATGTAAGTGGAATATGAATAAGAAGGGAGATATTTACGATTGCTTAATAACATTGTCAGTAAATAACAATGGAAATGAATTCAATAGTTACTGAATCTTTGAATTATGGGATGTTTTGGTTTGTTTGTCACTAGGCTTCTTCAAATCTGAACTCGTGATAGCTGATGAATTAACTGCTTCTCTCACTCAGACGAGTATGAAAATAACGCATCTCAGTTGTTTAGAGAAATCAGATCATGTCTTAATGAAGCAACAGAAATGATTTCTGAGATTTGGTGCAAAGTATTACAGAGTGGCTGTTGCTGTTCTTTTTATGAGGAAATTTTCTCGGAAAACACATTGGTTACTATTTAAGAAACACTAGGATACAAATATATCTTTTAAGATTAAACTAACTGAATTTATTATACTTGAAGTACATTGATGTTGCTTAACATCAATTGCCAGAATTGAGACGCATTTTATCATATAGATTTTAACTGCTTTATGAAATATTAACGAACAAATGATCTAGATATTTTTTTGAGAGTAAAGTAGACGTTTATCCCGTTGCACTTTTGAAAAGAGATCACAAGCTCTATAAGGTTGAACTTTTTTATAGTTTTCAGAACAGTTTTCACTTTCATTATCACAATTACTACCAGATAAACGTTTTAATGAATCATGTTAATCATTTTGAGATAAATGGACTTTCCTAGAACACAAGGGGAAAACCAAGGTCCTCAAATACAACACGGAGAACAGCAATCCAATCACTCTTGATGGCAAAACTCTGGAAGATGTAGAATCCTTCACATACCTGAGAAGCATCACCGATGAACAAGGAGGTTCAGATGCAGACGTAAAGGCGAGGATTGGCAAAGTAACGACAGCATTCCTACAATTGAAGAACATATGGAACTCAAAACAACTTCCAACCAATATCGAAGTCACAATCTTCAATACGAACGTCAAAACAGCCAGTTCTACTGTATGGAGCTGAGACTTGGAGAACTACAACAACCACCATCAAGAAGGTACAAGTATTTATAAATAACTGTCTTCGCAAGATACTCAACATCCATTGGACGGATACCATCAGCAATAGCCTTCTGTGGGAGAGAACAAATCAGCTTCCAGCTGAAGAAGAAATTAGGAAAAGACGATGGAAATGGATAGAATATACATTACTCGAATCACCAAACTGCATCACGAGACAAGCTCTAACTTGGAATCCTGAAGGGAAGCGGAAAAGAGGAAGGCCAAAGAACACATAACGTCGGGAAATCGAAGCAGATATGAAAAGGATGAATAACGACTGGAAGGAGCTGTAAAGGATTGCTCAGGACAGGGTGGTAAGGCGGGTGCTGGTGAGTAACAGGCGTATGTAAGTAAGTGCGAAACGTTTGTATTCACGAAAAACAGTTCCCTGAAAATTGCTTCGAAACAAAAAATAAGTATTGGTTCAACTAATCTATCTCATTATCGGTTAGTAATGTTTTTGAGTTACGGTATGGTTTAAAACTCAATTTTTTTTGTATCAGAGATGATATACGATTAAAACATGAAATATAGATTTTTCTCTGGTATAGTATAAAACTAACTATTGACTGTTTAACAAACTTGTATTGCTTTCAGTTACTGTTGTTAGATTTAACTATCTATAAAATATACGTGGCAATAGAAGTCACTTTAAACACTTTAATTAGAAAGTGTAAAACTGTTGCCAAATTTAGTGATTTGGATATAAATATGTTAGGAACTGGATGAAGATATTACAATGAAATCAGTAATACATATATATAGTACAACTTAACTATTCTAGTCTGATAATAAGACACTAAATACTGTTCCATATATTCAAAACTATAGTTAACTTTGTGACGAGAATGTTTTTGTCATTATTTTCGTGATTAATAAGTGTTTTAATATTATTTTACTTATTAAGCTTGTGACTTAAGGCAATATCGAGGCAATCCGCACAAGATGCACATATGCCAACAACAGACTGATCAATTGTAGTCATGAACAACAATGGGAAGATACAAGTAAATAACATCAAGTGAATTTAAAACTTAACCCCATTACACAAGCAGGTGGCTATTGGGACTCACTAGCTAAGTGGATAATGCGATGGCGTTTGAAGCGAACGGTAGTGTGTTTGTGTCCCAGGGTGAACATCAACTCTGAGACGCAGGTAAATCGAGCTGACGAGTCACAAATAGGACGAAATGCACGTCCTGGATTCCACTGCTAGTCACTACCCATCTTCATTTCATTACAGGATGTTTGAATATTTATTTAATGTAAGCTTAGTATTCTACCTATCATCAAATATGACTAAAGTATATTGTGTTAATATAACATAAAT